GGGGGTGGTGGAGGGCCTCTAACTCGTTTTTGCTAAATTAAACCTTAAAATAACGATATATATATATATATATATATATATATATATTTAAATTGCAAAACTTATTTATATCACATTGTATAAAAGTTTCGTTTAGTTTTATCTTGAACTAAAGTATTGTATATATTAGTATAATTTTTTTATTTAGTAATCAAAGTAGTAAATTATCCAGAAATTAATTTTATCTACGCATTAATATCTAAAATCTAAACATCTTAGGCTGACATTCATAGTTGAATCATATGGGCTTTTTGCAGTAACTATTACTTACTTAAGTTTTAAGTCTTAAGCTATAAGTAGCTGACCAATCATAGTCTATTATTTTTCTCACATTTGACTATGATTTCTCAGCAGAAGTAGAGACTCGATATATATGAATGGAGATCAAATTAGAGAATAAATCAAAAAGTGTTGTAAAAAAATTAATCTAAACTTACCAGGCTTAGCGACAGAGGACTCGTTAGCTGCCTTCTTGTATTCTTCCTCTAAAACGCGATTGATCTTTTGGTAACCATCCTCGATATTTTGTAGACGCCTTTGCCAGTACTGATCCTGCTGCTGCAGTTCCTCTTCCATTTGCTGCTGAATTTGAAGAGCAGACACCGTCAACTCTGGATAATAATACACTGGCTGCTCATGCGTCGCTTCACTGGCGTGAGGCACAGCAGTCACCGTGGAAGGCGCCGGGTGCTGGATCGGTGCGGCGGGTATCGCATCCGGCAGTGGCTTATGCAACTTGGATTTCTCCCCCTGGGCGAGACGCTGTACGATCGCGTTTGACACCTTGATCACCCCGACTTCCTCCTCGTTCGAGATGGTCAGCTTGCGGGCGCTCTGGCCGGAGCCCATCCTCGGGATTCTAATTTCTAATTAAACAGCCCTCCGTGAAATACCTCGTGATCTCGCTCGTCTGCAACAAACGATTATCGCCGATTTCATGTCGCTACATAACATCAACGTTGCTATCCAATGTCTTTTACGTGGCGAGCTTTATCCGTCGTCCTAGTCCGATGACAGCGGGGCCAGCTGTTTTTCCCAGTTATTCGCCTCATCAAAGTGAAATTACATAAACCATAATTTCAAACCAGACAGAAACCTTAAGAGAGAGGAGCAAACGGCCATACCCGTCGCGCCCGCGGGATTTAGCTGTTACCTTATTTTGAAGCGCCTCTATGTCCACAAAATATAGACATTCAACTATGTAGCCAATATCCATGATCCCGTCGGTAAAGGCCCGTCTACAATACACGGAGTAAGAAGCAAGAGTAATGTGTGGTCTACAATGACAGTAGCAGTAGTGGATTAGGTTGTAAGAGTAAGAAATTGACCAATCACAGTCGAATGTGAGAAGAATAATCGACTGCAATTGGTCAATTTCTTACTCTTACAACCTAATCCACTACTGCTACTGCCATTGTAGACCACGCATAAGAAATTGACCAATCACAGTCGATTATTCTTCTCACATTCGACTGTGATTGGTCAATTTCTTACTCTTACTTCTTACTTCGTGTATTGTAGACGGGCCTTTAATGTTCACGATTTTTTGATTATTATGCGTGGTCTACAATGGCAGTAGTAGTAGTGGATTAGGTTGTAAGAGTAAGAAATTGACCCAATGCAGTCGATTATTTTTCTCACATTCGACTGTGATTGGTCAATTTCTTACTCTTACAACCTAATCCACTACTGCTACTGTCATTGTAGACCACGCATATGAGTTGACAGAGTCGAGAGTCGAGTTTTGGAATGCACCCCAGAGGGCCTTGAAGAAGAAGAACAAAGGAGAAGAGAAGAAACTGTCTTTTCATCGCTTACCCCGGATCTACAATAGGTATTTTAAGCCTTATGGCTCCGGCACACCAGCGCGATGTTCGTCGCGCGCGACACGCGATATCCAATGAGAGTATACCTTTAGAATGAGAACATCGGTAAAGTTGTACACTCATTGGATATCGCGTGTCGCGCGCGACGAACATCGCGCTGGTGTGCCGGAGGTATTAAGCCATAAGACGTCTTCTACAATACACGGAGTAAGAAGTAATAGTAAGAAATTGACCAATCATAGTCGAATGTGAGGAGAAGAATAATCGACTGTGATTGGTCAATTTCTTACTTTTACTTCTTACTCCGTGTATTGTAGACGGGCCTTTAGGCGTTGTCTACAATAC